TGATCATTTCCTGATTTCTATAACAAATACGTCCCGAAAATAGCTAGAAATCCAAATAACGAAATCCGAGAACCCGAAGGATAAACCATTTCGTGGTTTATGAGCGAAGAAAACGAAGACAAGAGTCACCTGCCTACCACGAAGTTCCAAAGTTGTTTCCATCAAAATTGACATTTCTGCTTCAAAACTTGAAATCTGTGGACCTTCCTAACGAAAAATAACAGAAGTTAATGCCGAAGTTTTGGGATTTTTTCTGAAAAATGGAGTGATCATTCTGAGAAAATTCCAAAACGTTCGAATTTCTAGAGCGTCGGATGGTTGCAGCTTCCAGAAGTTTGTAAATTGTTTTCTCTTTCTAGGAAGGCGAATGGAAAATTTGCGCCGGATATTTTGCCCCGTTCATTTGAGGAACTTGCACGCAAAGAATAATAGAAAAAAACGATTCCGTTCAAGCGTAATGAAAAACTAGTTTTGTGCTAATACCCTCAGGCAAAACCACCACGATAAAAACGGCCTAAGGCTTCGTGTGTCGAGCTCCTCATCTTCCGAGTTTGGCCCGCCGCATTTCATTAGCTCTGGTTTTCGGCCACTATCTAACAAGGTAGTCTACTTTATAGTAAATGCTTTCGGGGTAGAACCGGGTTTCGATTTACATAAAGGCTTCTCCGCTTGTATATGAGATTGGGGCAGTTGACCGACCGCATTACCGTAGCTGCATATTCGGCGTGATGTGACTGCGAGGCAGGAGACCCCGGGGTACACGTAGAAATACGGAGACATTAAACTACTCCCTGGAACATGCAGAACGTCAGTTGGACTTTTTAATGGTCTTCGTGGCATGCGTGACTCGCGGACAAAAGAGATATTGCTCGCCGTTTTCGGAAATCCGTGGACCCGCCCTCACTTATGTCGGATGATTTGACGTAGAATTCTTGTTTTATGGCTCGGAAGGAATAGCTCGAGCATGCTTTTACCTTCGGCTTGTGGATAGACCCGGAGTGTCATTTACGCCGACCCCAGATGTTCGTCCTTCGCGGCAGATTCAACTTTCAATCATGAAAATAGCGTGTCATTACTGCGCGCCCCTTGATAAATGCCGAATGGAAGTGCAGAATGTACTGTACTCTGAAGCAAACATTCAATCAGACTTCCACTCTTTCGGTGGATCTTCTTCCTTGCTAGCTAAATGGCGTACGTCGTGATGGCTCGTCGAAGTGTTTTGCGAAGTGCTTCTTCGTCTGGAGATCTGACTAGGATGCAGAATCTATTTGGACGCGAGAAACCGACAAGGGTGTATTCCAGCCAAAGCATGCTTGAGACGCATTTCTTTTATCGCAAAAAATTCCGGGCGATTCGCAGCATACAGTGCCTTCCGAAATTTTTTAATCTGGCACGTTCACGCTTTCGCTGAAATATTAGTGTTTCGCAGAAATACTGTAATACAATATTTTCATAGTGCACGTACTTGCTCGAATACCACGCTCAGTCAAGTAAGACGCGCACCGAAATTTTTGGCATAGAATTTGCCAGAAAAAAACCGATCCACGTGTATCACGCGTACCTATTTTTTTACTATCCCAAAATATTTCTTTTTTTAGTAATAATGTTCAATTTTATAATCATGGGAATAATCGTAATAACTTGAAGCATAGTAACAGGATAAGTACCAAATATTATTTCGTGTCCGAAATTTTCTCCTTTGCACCCCTTTTTCTGATTTTTGTTTTTAAAAAATGTATATCCCCATACCACGCGTACCCCACTTTTCTGCCTTAGTTTTGCAGGAAAAAGGGTGCGCGTGGTACGTGGGTAAATACGATATTCCGATTCAGTGCGCCATTCAATCGATCACTTGTAAATATGGGAAATTTTTTTACAGTATTCGAATATAGGCCGCACGTACTGTATTTGCCGAAAAAAGTGCGGGTCGTATTTTGGTCGCTTGGAAAAAAAACGAGGGTGCGGCATTTATACGAGTACTTGTGCGCGCATGAAGAAGTTTTAGCCTTTACGAGCGTGAACAGTATAAAAACAAGGTACGCATATAAATACAAAATGTATGCGAGTATGCTCGGGCGATTTAATGCTCTGATAGATTCAAAGAACCGTAAACATACTGTACGTGGAAGTACAATAGTAAATTTGAACCATGAAGTTCGTGTCCCAGGAAGGTGGTAGTATATACTGTACTTGAACACAAGAGGAAAGCATCCTTGCATCATCCAGGTAAACATGAGTGCTTTATCCCTTGTTCCAGTGAAGAAAACGATAAATTATGTATAGAGCATCATCTCATAATATTCATCCTTCCGTTCTTTTGTTTTGATGATTTCAAGTTGACACCGTTGTTCATTTGGATCGGATGATCAAATGCACCAACATGATCATCGTTCACCCAAAGCTTGTTCCTTCGAAGCAATAATTCATATTCTTAAATTTTAATATATTTTGGCCGACAGCATAAACTTTAAGTTATGACATGAACTTTGTCCTGGTTGAAAGTCTGTGGGACATCCGTGCTAAATTTGAAACCCTGCTTCTCGTCCACATGGAGACAAACAAAGTTATGAATGACAATGTGATGGACGCGAGATTCAAATAGAAAAATCCTGGCCTGAGCTCAAATGGCAGCCGGATTACGAACTTTCGGCACAGTATCATATTCCACTGCTTTTATCTTAAGCTACACTTATTCGGCTCTTCTTCGAACATTTCCCGGATGCCTTTCCTGTACGGCGTATTGTAGAATACAACTGGCATCGTCAAATCTGGGGTATGAAGGGATGACATGCTTTTTGGAGGGATCAGCACACCTTCCCACGGAAACTTACTCTGCTGGGAAGGTTGAATTTCACGGGATGCATCATAGAGCATTTATTTGAGGAATTTATTTGTGTTTGATAAGTACCTAAAAAAAGGCGTAAACCCTTCGCGAGTGCCTTTTGAATTCGCTGTGGGAGAAAAGCAGTGATGAAACAAATTTTCATAATTGATCGGCTTGTATTGGAATTAATTTTCAGAAGAGTAACACCCTCTTTCGGTAATAAAGATAAAATTGTCGTAGTACTCTAAGCTCTACTTCTGCCTCATTCCCCAGAAATTGGAAGAGCCTCGTGTTTCCTGAGGACCATCGAGGCCTGTGCTCGTCAACACTTGAAACGGATTAATCCATGAAATTATTGCAGACAGTCCATGGAATCCAGGACAAGTGCGAGCAGATTCTCATCAAATTTCGCCTCGTCGCCGTGTGTTGTTAAATGTTCAGTCATCAGCGAAATTCTCATTTTGTCCACCCTTCTTTCAATGTAAATGAGAGCTGCGGTTTCTGTTGGATATTGAAGCATTCTTCAGGAATTCATTTCGCCCATGGTGCACTCCTTAAGACGACCCTGAGTGACATATTATGACCGAAAGACGTTGGTCACGTCAGGAAGCTTCTGCTGAACTCCCTGAGAAACGCATCAAATTTTAAAAATACCAGGTGCAATGATCACGAAAAGAAATGAGGTTCTACCGAATCTTCCGCGAAACTCGGTAACCCGGTGGCTGTCCATCACGTATCCCCTTCGCAAGGGGATCGTGCTGGGTGATGGGAAATTTATGCGTCGAGTCCGCAGTACCCAGAATTTTCGTGCGGCTCGTTGCGGAAAGCCGTCCTTTGATTCTGGGTTTCGCATTAATCCAATTTCATGCCAGGAAGTTGGTGGCGTCCGTCGATGGCGAACGCTGCGAAAAGGGCTATTGATTATCGGTTACCGACGTCCAACCGACTTATCCCAGTTCGACTCGAACTTAAAAAGCTGGCAGGCAAGAGATCGCATCAAAGCAGGCTGAGACTCGTGGGTTTTAGACCTAGGCAAGAACGCGATTCCTTGAAAATTATTTTACTCGAAATAAATAATGTAATTAAAAAATCTATACTGCATACATATGCATCCTATTGCTCTTCGGATTTCGAGCCAAATAATCGTGTACTTGGTTCAAGAAAGCTTTATCCCACTTTGATCAATCTAGGCGCATAAATGTTCAGGTTTCTCGTAAGACTGTGGGATCAGATAGTAAATTGAGAGTTGCTAGGATCATTCGGTTTTTGATGTTTTCTGTGAAGTTAGGTGCGGCGTTGAAACCCTGTTATTCTCCCAGCAGGGGTTTGACTTGAGTGCGGATGCGATTTACTGTTACGACATCCTTACGGGGTTTATTGGCAGCGTTTGAATCGAAACCGGATTGTTTGGCTTCTAAATGCACGCCGATTTCTCGGCAAACAATATTTCTGGCTGAACGAAATTCTGATTCTATCTATTGCGTGTTGTTGCGAAGTATGAGATTCCGTTGCGAGCACAGTAACTGATAACTATTTGATTTCATTTCCGGATGAACCTCATTTCTTCGAGTCGTTCGGAGTAATTTTTTATCGCATAGTAAGTTCCGGCAGTTGACATGGATCTCATACATCAGCATTCATTTCTCTTCGGAAATTTGGTGCTTTTGTAAATGTTTTTTCAACTTCACGAAGTTCCGATCGAGTTCAGAGGATTAACTTGCAATACACGAGAAAATCATTCTAGTGAACCTAATAATTGTTGAATTTTGTTTTGCGATTAATTAGTGGTTTTTCGCGCAAAAAAGAACATTTCGAAACGATGATTGCCTTGTTAATGAACCGACAATCGATGAATGCACGTGGGAATTTCGAGCGTCTCACTCACTCTTTTATGTAGTCGACCACTTGATCGCAAAGAAAAAATGGAACCATTCCGGAGAAAAATGTCAACTGAACGGTCTAAAAAAAGTTTCAACTGAATTTCAATGAAGTTTCTTTCGATTGTTGAATTGGTGTGACCACAGCATTAGTTGAAAAAATTAGTCGCTGGAAGAAGTTGCCTCGAACTCTCTTCCGAGGTTTCCGAATTTTGATTGGGGTTTTTTGTGATTTAAAAAAATTAGTTGATGAATTCGGTAGTTCAAAGGCTGAGCTTTGTTGTTGTTGATCTTTGCAGATGCCCCAGTGTGTTCCCGTCAACAGAAGAAGGTTTACGGCGTAGCACGACGAGAGAAGGTGTTGGTGCGGTGTGAGGTGGACGCCGAACCCGGGGCAGAATCATTCCGGTGGAGATTCAACAACAGCGACGAGAACTACGATATCCCACAAATGTCGTTCACGACTTCGAGGGCCGGGAGTGTGTTGACCTACACACCGATGACGGAGAAAGACTACGGGACGCTGACGTGCTGGGGCACAAACGAGGTCGGGCAGCAGCAGGAACCTTGCGTTTATCAGGTCAGTGAATCTGCACCCATCCGGCGCGGAGAGGCACGGGATGGTGCATTTTGTTCATAAGGGAGCAGATAAGAGAAATCCTCCGGACCTTCTGATTTCATTTTTACCGCTCTCTGCCGCAACAGTTTATATCCCAACGAGAAAATGCCTCTGCTTCCTCTGCTTACTTTTCATCCCCAGCCCAGAGTCTTCGCAGACTAAGCGTGCGAGCGTGACCCCCTCACGAAAAAATAAAACTTTCGGAAATAATTCAGCATCTCAAGGAAAATCCCTCGTGCATCGCGTATTTTTCTGCGCTGATGCTTTTGAATTCCTCCGGCGCAATTCACGGACACTTCTCCTTCCAAAGCTCCCAAATCATACGATGGCAACTGCTGGTTCTTTCTCTGCATAACTCCGCTTTTGTTGTCTTCGCACCATAGACCCACAAGAACGATACTATTTTCGTGGTTTATGAACGCACGAATCATGAAAGTAGGTAGGGCAATGTGACAAAAGCGTAAAATTGTGGTATTCGGAATACCAGAATTATTTTTAGAACTTGGGAGATGAAAATTGACACGTTTAGCTTTTTTGCGTCAAATCGCTGCTGAACTAACAACCAAGAATCAGGAATAAGTTCTTCTAGTATTACGATAAAAATTTTCGTACTTCCCGGAATTGAGCCTGGTGACCTGGGAAATTCGAGGAAATTTATGGCATCCGCAGGACAGCGATTATTGACTTTTTTATCAGCAGTGAATTAATCACTGGGATTAGTCTGGAAAACGCAGAAAACATACCTATTCTTCTCCGAGGTACCCAAAACTTGTTGCTGAATTCCGTCAGGATATCTTCAACTTATTCACCTTTGCTTGACACTAGTATCATTCGTAATTGTGTCTTCGGAACTCCCCGAAGAACTTTATTCAGGTTCTATTGATCTACCTGCCCGTTAATCACCTAATACTTCACTAAAATCCGTATCGTTGATTATGAAACTTCTGACGTGATTGTTGTGTGATATTTTCTTCTGTTCGTTTGGAATTTATCGAAGTCACGTTTTTTTTCTGGATGGTGAAGAATTGAGGTTAAATGAGCTATTTTCACAGAAAAGACTCCGGGAATGAGCAGAGCAAAAGTGGAATAAACAGTTTCAATTCCCGAAGTTCCTTTGACATTCGCTCGCTTTTTTTTTAGCATTTATTTTTGAAAGTATCATTGTGTTCGAATGTTTCACGGTGAACGTAATGAATTATGACGAGCAGGTCGTGCCGGCCGGAGAACCAGACCCGCCGCACAACTGCACGATCTCGAACCAGACGTCGAGCTTCCTGGAGATAGATTGCGAGATGGGTTTCGACGGCGGGCTGTCGCAGTTCTTCGTGATGGAGGTGTACGACTCGTCGTCGCAGATCCTCAAGTACAACGTGTCGTCCGACGCCCCGCATTTCGTGGTGGATGGACTCATTCCCGGAAGTCAGCTCATAGTGTCCATGTACGCCGCCAACGGGAAAGGCAAAAGTACCAGCCTCGTCTTTCAGGTTGGTTGACCGCGTTTGGCGAATTTATGCCCGTCTCTTGCCCTGAGCCGACTTCTTGCGTTTTCTTTTCAATAATGCAGCTGGGGTTGAGATAATTAATTTCATCCAACTGCTGCTTTTAATGCTCTGCGTGATCCATGGCACAGTCGATGGCGAGCATTTAAGGAGTTTCCCAAATGCGTAAAACTTTGATTATCCTTCTGGGATTCTGACCAATTTATTGTATGCGACAACAGTTTGCGACTTCAATCTGTTGTTGTGCTCAATATTTTGATTGAATCCAGATATTTTGACGGTTATTTTTCCTTTCGTAATTGCCCCTTCAATCTCGTACACTGAAACATGGATGATGCTCCAGAAATTAAACATATTTTTCTTCCCAATAATTAAATGCTCTATAAATGCATGTTCGGTCGCAATTTCTGATGCAGCTAATATGTGAAAGTTGAGCTCTATACTTTCGATTTGTGTCCCTCTTTTCCCACGATTAACTCTTTCATATGTCATTCAATCATGGAAACAATTTTCAAAGTGACGAAAACTTGAGTTTTTCAGGCGCAGAGCAAAATTCGGGCGAAGTTTAACGAGTGATTTGTTGCCTAAGCTTTGCATTTTTATTCAGCATAATTTATTTGGAGGCAAAATCCAGACAGTGAGAGGAAACTAGTTAATGATACTTGAATGAAATCTCAGTACAGTACTAGAAAGTGCGAAACTCAGCATTTCGCCCCCCTTGAAGCCTCGTGTTTTCCGGGTTTGCCCTTCAAGACGAATAGATAACTTCCTGGTCTTGAGAATGGTTTAGAATATGTTTGCAGGTCTTCGAAAGTTCTTGAAAGGTGTGCAAACTTTAGGGTGTGTTTGGATTGCATTTAATAACCGCATGAACTAACTTATGAACTGTAGTTGCAAGCATGGTGTATTTTTTCTTGCGACATGAACATTTTGAATTGATATATGCCTTGGTCGCTAGGAGTACTGAATTTTTGCATTGAAATTCAAAATTGTAAATGAATTGAAATCGATTGGTATGTGCTGACTTGGACCGAGGTATGTTCTATGGTGACACCAGGTCACCATAGAACATCATATTCCATGCAGGAAACATAAATGACTGTTGAAATCTTTGAAATGATATAAAACGAGAAACTCACGATGCATAGGATAATTCCGTTCGCATTTTCACGTGCTTCGTTCCATTTTGGCGACCGTTGGAATTTGAAAGGCACTTTCCAAAATAATTGACGCCTACTCCATGCGAGCTGTGTCGAGAATTGTGCGCACACGTTTCCCTGACGATTGCCTCTTTCCATGCAAAAGCTTACGAAGTTGAAATAAATATTCCATCGTAACGCAGCAGAATTTTGGCCCTCCAAAATTTGAAATGCATCTGAACCTGATCGGGCTTGGAAATTTTGTATTTAGTGTAGCTCGCCTATATAGATGCTTGATTGTTACAGTACAGTATTTTATTTAGTTCCTGAAACAAAATTTTTTTTTGCATCATTTTTGGATCCTTCTTCATACCAAGGAAGCTTCAACTGTAGTGATTCCTTATCCCTGTATCGCGTATTAAATGTTTTCAAGTACTGTACAGTGCAATAGTCAGTTCTTGAAGTTTTCTTCTGTACAGTAATGTATTTGCTTTTTTTTTACAATTTTGGATTTGAAATGTTCGATTTGTCTCATCAGGCTTCGACGTTGCGCTTGCCGGAAAGGATAACTGACGCGAACACCGTGAAGCCATCCTTGGGAACGCTACGTATAACTCCGATACTAGGCGTGCTGATTGGCGTCGTGGCGGCTCTGGTCATGGCGGCTCTCATCATCGTGGTAGTGATGAAATTCCGCGTGTCCGCCATGAGGTCGAAGAGCTCCAACACCGGAAACAATAAGGGCGAGAGGATGTCGCCCGCCGGCGCGTCCTCCGTTGGCACCAGTGCCAATTTGCCTCTGCGAGCTGACGTGGATGAAGACGACACCCCGGGCACTTACAGCCACATGGACATGAAGTCTGGTGTCGACTCTCATCACGCTGGTAAGTCGCTCCTCATCTCCTGCGAGCAGTCATGCCCGTCTTACTTGTCAAATTGACTCCGCGGTCTCGTTGCCAAGCACGTCGGACGCTTCAAAGGACAAGGTTGAAACATTTGCAAATATAATCCCGTCTCTTTTAATATCCCTCACTTTTTAAAACTCCTCCGCGTCCCCGAATTGTTTTATGAATAGCGCTCGATCTCATCCATTCGCTCGTCCATCGAATAAAAACTTATCGACATCATGTACTTCATTTAATCTACGTCCGTTGAACTTCTGCGGCTTTGAGCAGTACGGGAACCGCCTTGTACACATACTCAAACTTGTTTTCGAAGTAATCGAAAGTAAGTGCTGGGATCTCTATATCTATCAAAAAGGCTCTAAGGATGGAGAGATCCTCTGCTCGTGTAGGCTACAACGTCTTCTATTCATTCGGAGGTTCACCCAGGCCACTCGTTCGAAATTTGACCACTGTCGGAAGAGATTTCAAAAATAAACTTGATTACGACCGTTAATAAAACCTCGAGTCCCTCCTGAAAGTCTTCGGGAATGAATGTATCTTTTTTAGGCCTTACATGAGAAATCCCTAATCTTCTATCAATCAAGTAAATTTATGTACATTAACGATCTGACTGAAATCACTGCACTGGCTAAATTCGTCCCCAGCATTTATTTGTATCGCTTCTGACCTGATTATGTGCTAAAACAAGCACAAAGGACCTGCATACTATTTTTCGAACTTTTGCTGATCATGAGGCGAGAGTCGAATCCATCGAGTTCTTCGTAAAATTCTGTGCATCACTAGCAAATAATTAATTTAATTTTCACCCCGATTGTTTCTGACTCTTGGAGCTGCAATGAGTCAGCCGATATTTAGCCTGCAATATCGCGTAAACGATTTAAATGCGACATAAATTACCCCGAAGCGAAGGAAGCGCAACTCATGCATAATCATATTAACTACTGCAACAATAATTTGATTCTCTCTTGCGTGAAATGAACGCAGAGCATTTCCATAAGTTTGTGCTTTTATATCCACCAAAGACGCGCAAAAGTATGACATGAAAGCTGCATTCTCCCTCCGCGGAAATCCTCTATCTTTATCTCGACGAAGAAATTGTGCGAGGAAAAGCCTTGAGATGGAATATTGAAAAAAAGTGCTGCTTATTGGTTGCTCGTGATCTAAATGGAATTTCGAAAGATAATTTGATATTCAGCAATCCTTTGTATTTTGTGGATATTTTTTAAAGTTCCAGTTTCCTGTTTGAATTTGTCTCTTTTCTTATCCGCCTTGAATGTGGATGAGCGAAGGGAGACGCAGAAAGTTTGCACGTTTCTTCTACTATCCATAAGAAGCTGCATTTTCTCGAAAGCCCATGACCCACTTCGGAAATATATGATGTCATCGGATCGCCTTGAAACTGTTCAGTGGTACTGTAGTAAACTTAACTTTTAATGTTCAGTACCTGATATCTAGAGTAGCTTGTAAACTTGGATTGAGGGATAAGACAGAGATATTGTGAGAGCGGCAATAAGGAATGGGGTACTGCTTTCATCGGCAGTGCATCGAGCTTATGAGCACATCCGGTCGCGTCGATGAATTGGCAATGAAGAACCCCGACGAACTTATTCGAGCCGTCGTTACGATCAGCATCGCAAGTCGAGCCGTGTCGAACGGCTGTGCTCAACGGACGAAGTTCTTTCGAATGAAATCCGTGCCGTCTTCCAGACGTGATTTCGGCGAGGCGAACATCCGAACCCTCGACGGATTTACAAGCATGTAAAGAAAAAACAACAACTTCGTGCTGCGCGTATTCCGCACGGACTCGTGCTAAGAAAAGACCCCGCATATTTCACCCCCGCGATCTCGTTTCCTCCAAAATTCAGAATCTCGGGCTGCGAGTCTCGCTTTCTCGGCGCGGGAGCGCATTAAGACGCTCCCTGGGGACACTCGAATGTGCTTGATAAACACTGGGGGTGGAAATATACTGGGGCTGTGTCTCACGACGGTTTCCGGCGCCATCATCGCGACTTCCTGATTGCATTAGACGATTAACCGGCTCGGGAGGCATCCGGAACCGCTCAGCCTGATCCGTCTTTTTCGTCGCCCGCAGATTTGGACTTCCAGCAACGTTGCCACGAAAAGGAGCCGCTGAAACTGACGAACCTCATCCCGTACTCCGACGACGACAAGGATGGTCCGCTCACCATTTCCAGATTTAACACCGCGCCCAACAAGCAGGTCAGTGTTTGAGCTTCGGAATCCGATTTCCTGTCATGGCGCTTATTCGAATGAGGTTCCATTTCGCGGCATGAAGGGACTCAGACGCGGGAAGTGTTATTGTGAGGCTACACCATTTCGAGTGAGATGCATGATTAAATGCTTCAACTGTTGTTGGCAGAATTCCTGCGCAGCTTGTATGTAATACCTGTCGAGTTCGAGAGCGAAATTGTGAAAATCGCTGAAAAAGCAAGCATGCACACAAGCAAAATCTGTGTCGAACCGTGCCAATTTTCTTTGTGGCGCAAGGAAAGCCTTCATGATCAATTTTTAGCTGGCATAAAATCGGGGTCTCTTTAGAATGCCATATTCTCCTTAGTTTTATATAGTACTGTATTACTTAGTTTTGGAATTACACAGTTTAAAAATAAACATTTTCTCACCAGGATCAAAATGATCGGCGCATGATTTCATTCAACCAATCAAGTTACAAACGCATGCATTTTACTCAGACAGTAGAATATTTATGAAGTGAAACAGGCGTCTCAATGTCCGTATTTGTAAAACCAACGAATGCTTTGGAAAATGAAGGAGAAATTTCAAAATATGAACATATTTTATCTTGTAAAGCAGTTAGAGTCGTGTTCTTCTTGTTGCTTTTCTCGTTCTTGGTTTCCGTCTGACTGAAATTTTCCGGACCCAGACGTCACGAACACTTGCCAGGGGCTCTTGGGATGCTCAAGACGAAAAAGGAAAAATAAATGAAATTCCGTTTTTGAGGCACATGAGATACGGGAAGAATGGGGGGAGATTTAATATGACGAGGAAGGACTGTTATGCTCGTATCTCCAGGCGAAAGTCCTGAGGTGCTTCGCGGTGATAGACATTGTTTTTAAAAAAGGGCTCTGCAAGTCAAAAGGATTGGGATTTCTGGACGAGAAAATACACTGACAAGAGAAACGCACAGCTTGGCACAATGACGAAGATATGACCGTAGGCGTTCAGAAGGTTCCTTTGAAGAATACTGTATATAGTGGATGAGTGTCGGTTCAGTGCAGGCAATTAAGTTTGAGGATGCTGGATTGCGGTAAATCTCGAAATTTGTTTCCACGAAATAATCGTCAAACTGCCTGACATACTTGTCGATTGAAACTGAGAAGGCATGTGATAGCTGTAGTTTTCCCTAATTTTCATCGCTTTTTGGAGAAGGCACTCAACTCCGCGTTCCCGACGATCGAAGTGCCTGTTTACAGGAAAGTTTTCGGTTTTTGTCTGAAATGAGCACGCAGTACTTATTGCAATTGTCGACATTTTTCATCAGCTCTTACACGTAATTTGATGGCACATGTAATCTCGGTTCACGCCAACCTGAATATCTTTTTAATTAGTTGCTATGCTATTCTTCAGTTATTTCTAGATGTTCAACAAAAATGAATTTAAACTTCGTCAAGGACAGATGAATATATGCTTCATTGTTACAACGACTCTCGTTATACTGGCTTTTGAGATCCCCCCCCCCCTCCAAAATAAATTTGTTTGCTATAAAGTTAATACAAATTGAATAACAGTGATTACAGTATACAGTGAAATCTCATTGCAACAAACTTGTGGGGACTTCAGAAAAAATTTGTTTTAACAGATTATTTTTTATATCAAGATTTTCAAAATTTTTGACTGATGGGAAGATTGTCTGAAAATTAAACCTGCAGACTTTCAACATTTTCCTTTTGTGGCTTTTTATATATTTTTCAGCATTTAAAAAACTTATATTTTCTAAAAGAAATTTATATGTTACTAACAAGCAGATAATCTGAATAACAGGTGTACACTAGCACTTTTTGTTGAGTAAGGTTTTCTAAGCAATTCCTGAACAGATTTGTAAGGGTGGATGTTCCAATAAAAAAGCTTACAATTTTCAAGCGTCAGTAATGTTTCTCAAGCATACAAATCCTTTTTAACATGAGTTTTTTGGGTTCATTTTTTCCATCTACTTGTAAGGATGGATTTCCCCCCCCCCCCCATATTTCCTAAACCAGGAAAAAANGGTTTCCCCCCCCCCCCCCCCCCCCCAATATTTCCTAAACCAGGAAAAAATTGTGAAAGAGAATTTTTCAGGTGGATTTTGAATAATTTTATCATGGATTCCACATTATGTCCCAACAACCAGTCAAAGTCACATTTTCAATTGAAAATTTGGGACTTTGCATGACTTTATTGGTGATTTTTCTTTAAAAAATCACAACATGTTTCCAAAAAAGTGTTTTATACTGGAATTGGCGAGTTTGTCATAACAAGATTTTTATAACATGTACCCTATAGATTTCTGGCGGGACTTCGAAAAAAGTTTGTTGGACCCAAAAATGTGTTGTAATGGTATTGGTTGCAACAAGATTTTACGGTAGTTGTTGCCAAAGGTCTCTCCAGATGCAAAGCCCGGAACGGCATTAGCGCTCTCATCATGAAGGTTTAGTTTCACTTTGAGCTCGGGACGTCGTTTCAAATAATCTTAAATGAACAAAGCAGAGGCTCCGAATAGTCTCAGAAGTGCAGTACACATATCTTGTATTATCCGGAACCCGATCAACTGTGAGTTTGTTTACCGTTACATTAACTTTACCAAAAAATGTTGTACCCAAGACTTCCGCGTGACACGACTATCAGGAATCACTATAATTGAAACATACTTGATTCAACATTATAATTTGATGAGATCTGGAGGATTTATGGCTCTTTCAGGTGTACTGTACTTTACGAGTAGATCTCTACTATGCATTTCAAGACGTCGTAAAAATGTCTTGTCGAATCCGATCATCTTTGACCACAAAACACTCGGGAGAACCCCTTTCACGGTTCTTGGTAACATTTCAAAGGGGTTTTTTTTTGTGGATATAACGACGATCTTCAACGGCTTCAAGCAGGCGAGATTCCTTCCGCAGAATGTATACATTTCTTCTGATTTATTGCCTAGCAGAATTCAGCCAAAACTTGTCATGAAGAAAGCCTTAGAACAACAACAAAAAAACACTATAACAAATACTCCCATTTAAATTTCTGTATTTTTGGAGAGACAAGATAATATGCCGGAAAATCTCCCTAAAGATGGAAGTTTCTGCTGCGTCATTTTAGAGATCAAAGCATTAATCGGTGTGAAGATTTTTTGTTGAAGATGTGCTTCATATATGCGTATAGGCATGAGAGAAGTTTTCAGTTTCTCCACAAAAGTTATACTGAACATTACCTGATGTGCCAGGCAATTTTTGCAATCACGTCTTTCGCAGATGACTTGCCCCCATTAAATATGAATTTCTCCGTGGCCATTTTTTTAATTTTTCGTACAATGCTGGATACTCGATGAAAAAAAACGCAAATTAGATGTAATGGCAATTTTGTCGTAGGAAAAACACAACTGCGAACTTCAGTCTGACGAGCCCTCCCACGTCATCAGGAGATCCTTTTGGAATTTGAACCAGATAATTTTCTTCGAACTGTGAATATTGCCGTAGAAGTAATACAGGTATTTGTAGATGGGCTTGGTCTGTACTGCGTTTTGGAAATATTTTACAGTAACAAGGAAGATCGCATCCATCGGAACGATCACCGGAAATGTTCGCACAACTGCGTTTAGATGTTTCCTGGGGAACCCTTTGCCAGCACCCGTTTACGGCGGGCCAAGAACGTTTCTGGGCGTGCTTCGGCGCCTGTGTCGCAACACGGACGCCAAGGACGCGCTTGATTTCGGGTATACAGTATATTGGCGCTACTGTATTTGCCCGTCTCTAGGTGATCCGCGCAAGAAGTCGCGCTAATGCGCGGATTGGAGGAAGAAAAACGCCTGCGGGAGATTTGCCGCCGAGGCATTTTTACGTTCCTTCGGGGACGCAAACATTTACACGTCGCGGGGGTGGGCAAAAGTTCCCGGCACTGCTTGCAGTCTGCAAATAGTGGGCACGAATAGACAGGCACTGCAGAGAACTGCTGCGGATGTGAGCAGATACTAAATTACATTGCTCAGACGCGAGGTTTTCCCCTCGTGTTTTATCACGTTTCGCCCTGATGATGACCACCATGACGATTTCGGTCTTCATTTCGTTTGTTCAAAGGGAAAGGATCGGGACGATGAAGGGCCACGGCATGCTATCCTTCAAGCAAAGTTAAGAGCCTGTCCATTTTCGGCCCAACGATGCATGTACGAGGCTAATTTACGCTAAGCTCGACGATTTTCGCGTTTTTTTTTTCTTCTCATCTGGCTTAATTGAGCGAAAATCGTTGATACGGCTCAGTCTCAAATTGCTTGAGGCAACAAGCTTCCTATGTCTCGGATTCTTCCTTCGTGGAGGCTCAACTTTTCGTATATACGCAGACATCTTATTCTCACTCATTCGTCGAGATTCTTCGCTTCAAACTTGATGTGGAAGTATTGTAAAATTCTTCAGAAATTTCAATTTGGCAAAATACGAATTGAATCTTATGCTACTTCATTACGCGGTCGACCTTGGTTCAACAATTCCCCTAGTACGCGGCTGAACCGCAGTAGATTGCCGACTCATTCCTGCATGACTGTTTGCATTCGCTACTGGAAGCAGCTCGCAGCGAATAAAAATAATCAACAACAAATTTTAAAGTATAAAAAGTGATGAATTGCTGGGAATAATGGTGCAAATCAATTCGACAAAATTACATTTCCAAGGTTTATTCCCGCTTCTGACGCATATACAACTCGCTTTTTATATTAAAGCTTGGCGTTTGTATATAAATCTTCGAACTTCATGGCTAAATAGGAAAAATGCATTGCAGTACTTGTGGCAATGAACATGCCATTGCAATGCTGACCAAATCGATTAGTGATATGATGCCTGGACATGTATGATTCATCTGGTTTTGAAAAGCATTCTGCATTAGTGTATGCTGGTTTTTTTTTTTCGTCTTGAGAGCATGCAGTTAGATAAAGAGAAGCTAAATTTTATTCACTGAGGCGTAAGAGTTTAAAATCCCACTGCGTGCCACTTGTTGAAATCCGTCCAGCTTTTGGTCCATTTTCGTATTTTCACGGTGCAGTCCTGGGAAGTTTTTCAAATGCTTAAGGTGTGATATGCAGATTTACCTAAGCATAGCAGAGGAAAAGTTTTCAAAATACACCAGCTGAGATGGATGGAAAAGGGATGTCAATAAAGTTCAGGGAAAATCTTGGTCATTTTTCTTAGGATTTCCGAAGTCCTCTTCCATGGGAGCAGATAAAAAGGTCTGGTCGGCCGCGTATTACAGTGACACCAGATTTTGCCGGCAACTACATCCACGATATAACAATTACTGTACTTCATGATCCCTAGAGATGTTCAACTAAGTATAGCAAGTTCTTTACCTCTATATTCTTTTTACAACTAATTATTATTGTCTCTATGAGTATCCTTGAAGAATGAGACCGTGTGTATTAGATTGCTTTACCGCGATAGTTTGCCCACGGATTAGTGCCACCTCACTTCAGTACTTTTCCAGCGTCGTTTAATTTATTATCATGAACATAACATAATCCGTACTGTATCTACCTTTAATCCAATCGGAGCAACCGCTCACCGACTTTTGAGTCATCTCCCACTATCAGTAATAAATGAAACTTGGTCATATTCGCAAGGATTTTACAGAACCCTGTGCGTGTTGGAATTATGCGACTGGCTAACTTGACTGACGGTATTTTTAAATCGTTAAAATATTTCAAAATTCTCTGGAGTGCTCCGCGTGATAATAATGTTTCAGTGGATTTGCTTGCTTAAATATTCGAATTGAGACGTTACAACACGGTTATTTGTGCCGTGTTGCCATCGAAGGAAGGTATTTATTCCGGCTATGGGTGCAAGGGCATTTATTTTTATAGCACATTACAGTACTGTACTGATGTACAATAATAGGGAACACATCAATGTATCGCGCTTCCGTGAACAGTTGGGAGTTCGGGTAGAAATTGGCGCTCACTTGATTGACTTCAATATGATTGATGGAATAGCTGGAGGTTCATCGTTAGGGGTTTGTGGTGGCCGGATTCAAGCTGCTGGAATCGTGGCTAATCGTCTTTACCGTCGCTGCGTCCAAGCGCGGATAACGTTGTGCCTCTTCTTTGATCTCAGCTTTTCCCCCCGAAAGAAACCCCGCCGGCAGCCGATTAAACCGTCTTGTCTTAGAGCCCCTCGAGAACCCCGATGAGCTGCCAGTGAATGCAGTGTCAGTGGGCGGAATTAAGCACGCGAAAACTTTTTTTTTTGCGTGTCGTCAAATCCCCCTCGTCTTGCGTCGTATTTCCTCAAACTGCATATCATGTGAGGTGGATGAATTTCATGTTGCAACTTGATGGCCTCCGTTGATTCGCGAATTATTTGGACTGCTGCGTTTGGTTGAAGGGTTTTTGCCGCAGGCATGCATGCGGATTACGAGTTTGGAACCGGGTCAGGGTTGTTGAGGGGTAAGGTCGATCCAAGTCAGGTTTCCGACGCCGCTGAGTTCATGGATTTCCCGCGGGACCCTTGAAATCTCGTGGAAGACGACGTCGACGACCGGGTTTTTATCCTTCTGGAGAAGAACAACATTTTTGTAGGTTACGGGTTTGCGGCTCGTATCTGTCTTGAACTCCACCCAACGCGATCTCCTGCAGAGCTACGAACCATCTAGAGTTTTTCTCGAGCGAATTGCATTCTTCCAAAAAGAGATTATTTTTCATAGATGCTGCGATTCAGGAAAGCCGAACCGAGTGCAGAACAAACTTCGTGAGATCGTGCTTCTTTTCTGCTCGTTATATTGTGGCGCTTTCTTTGATCCCAAGCACAGGGTGATTTACGTGCGATTAGACGGACGCAAATGTGAGTACTGTACGGCATTTTCGGATTTATAAAAAAAAAAATCCTCAACTTCTTCACTAAGTACGATGAGGCGATCCGGAACGAGGGGTAAACATCCTGGAATCAACCGGAAAATCCCGATCTTTGGCACCAGAGAGAGGAAATGATTTTTTTTTCTCTTTCACTTGGCTGACACCTGTAAAACATGAGAAAATCAGTGGCATCTCTGAATAGGAAAACTACACTTTCCATCATAAAAAGAGAGATCAGCAAAAAAAATCTGGCATCTTCGCTAAAATATTCCTTTCTCCTCGTCGCCTTTTAAAATTAAGATGAAATGAAGGAATTGTGTCAGAATATCCCATGGAAAGTAAACGCTCCTGTCGCAAGCGATGAATAACTGGCTGTTTGTATGAGGCCTGTGTTGTTGTCCTTCAGCTGAACATTATCTCAAACTGCCCTTCGCAAAAATTTCATAATTTATGCGCTTATGAGTCCCCGGAATATTCAGTTTCGTGTTTTTGGTAGGCTAGCTAGCCCATGAATCACCGTGTGTAATCTTAAAATCAGGTCAAGTGGGATGCGGAAATGCTGGAAGAATGTAATCTGTATTGTTGGTCACGTCTTGTATGGGCAACCAAAGGCTTGTGCTTCATGAACTTGGAGGATTGATCTGCGAAGCCGGGAAATAAATGTTCGACAGACACAAAATTACGAACGTTGACCGAAACTTTTTGGTCAAATGGAAGACTTCAAGTTGATTTAGTGAAAGCTCAACATTTTACATAAGTTAATCAAAACTGCAGTATTGCCTAATGACTAATCTTCAGATGTTTGTGCGGAATCCCTTCCGCTCCAAAAGGTTGTCCGCCGGAGAACAAAGCTTATGTCTTATTTTGTACTCGTATTTTGCTTGAACAAATCAGATGTACAGTATGCATAAAAAATGTTGAAAAGTAAGCACACCCATATATATCTTTTCTTCGGAAGTTTCCGAAGACCTCCAAGTCGCCTGTCTTACGCATGACGATAAGTAATTCCAGTACTGCGTGTTGTGCGAGATATTCAGTTCTTGAGCGAGCAGTTTACTGTTTGTCAACAAACACACGGTACCGAATGCCCTGTTACTTTTAGTTTTTCAATCGGATTCTTTGGATGCTTGCTTGAATAATGCGCTCGTTTTGGCTGTCTGTAGACGAAGTTCCATGGGGAAAAAGTCGATGGCCATAAAATAATAATCAGCTGCTGCTGGATTTATTTTGGGCTCAAGAAGGGAACCTTCAGGCTTGTATTTAAAGATAATCACGTAACTGCGCTGATTACGTTTGAATTCAGGATTTATGTGTACGAATGGAAGCTTTAAACCGCACTGTTCTCGTTCAGCTAGCTGGTTACATAGTTCCAATAAGGCGAAAAAAAGGAGAGTTTCGCGGGAAATCAGGGACCAGCTACTGCTGACTGCTGCATAAATCTCGGTCTTCTTTGCAAAGTAGTCGACGACAGTTACTGTATTTGTCGTCATTACGTATGAACTCGGGATTTCGAGGGACGAATGAAAGATTGAAACTGCGCTGGACCTTTTTTAATGATTACCACTCTGAGTGAGTGGTGACCTTTTTTAAGGCTGGAAAACTGACTTTCTCGTCCACGCTGATAGTGAAACCAATAACGGAATGTCCGGAGTACCGAGATTCCACATTTGAGATATGGCCTCGCCTGGTTGATTGATTCCACCTCGGACCTGGCGCAGAGCCATTCGGGGATCGGTGTCTTCGAGTCACAGTGCTGACATGTGCGTGCGTCGGAATCTTCCGATCGCGCCACGAGTTCCCACGTTTTTCAATCTCGCATTTTTCCACCCTCGTACTATTCTCTATTATGCCCGATTTTTATCCTGAAATTATGTCGC